TATTAAGAGTTATTCTGTAACTACTAAGAATTATTTAGTAACCACTATTAATTAATTAGTAACTGCTTTAAATTGTTCAATAACTGCTATGAATCGTTCAGTAACCACCATGAATTATGAAGTAACTACAATGAATTATTTACTAACTGTAATTAATTTTTTTAAGATTTATAAATTGTTTGATATCTACTCTGATTTTTTCAGTATATTACTCTAAACTCTTCAGTAGCTGCTGACGGTTATTTGGTACAGACTATGAATCATAAAATAAATACGTTGAAAATTAAATGAAGTGAAGATTTTACTAATTTTGAGGAGTTTCATTTCAAACAGCGGCTGATTTAACGTTTTAGTGAATTACAATTTAAAGCATGTAAATAAAAAACATGCATAATCAGCCGTCTGCACACCACTTACATACACGGCTAATAGATTAATTCAAACGCATCATTAATCAATTAATACGGCACTTAACAGATGTTAATAAACAAACTGATTGTAATAAATGATTAATAATAGATTATTTGAGTCTGTTGGTGAAGGAGCTCAGTCACTGTGCCGGATTTGCTGCTGCTGTGAGAGAAAAGTCAGAAATATGTGCTGCAGCTCTTTTTCTGACCTTGTATCGCAGTGAAGGCTGTGTGATTATAAAACAGCCTGAAATGGTGCCAAAGCTGAAACAGCCTCAGCTGCAGCTGCAAAGACGCTGAGCTGCGTTCAATCAACTCACTTACTGATATTTATACATGCAGTGTTTATTACTGTGTTTATTACTCTGTTTATTACTGTATCAGTGTAGTTACTGACCAGTCTGGCTCTTTATATACTGTAGATTCATCTTTATACTACACATTTAAAAGATGTTAATGAGTTCTTTAGTAAAGACTACTGTTCTAGATAGAACCATGAACACTCAAAGAACCCTTTGCATGCTTAAATGGTTCTTTGCATGATGAAATAGTTCTTTACATTGATGGAGAGTGTTGTTTATGGTTCTATACAGCACCAAATAGGGTTCTGCTACTGTTATGATGTTAAGCTTGTAACAATAGAAGAACCTTTTTGGTGCTATATAGAACCATTCTCAAAAAGGTTCTACATAGAACCCTTTGCATGGTGAAATGGTTATTCAGGTTGATTGAGAATGTGTTGTATGTGGTTCTATATAGACCCTTTTTGAAAAAGGTTCTATATAGTACCAAAACGGGTTCTGCTATTGTTACAAAGTCCAGTGTGTAAGAGCAGAAGTACCATTTTTGGTGCTACACACTCTCAACTCAAAAAGTTGGTTCTTCAAGGTTTCTTTTGTAAGGGAAATGGTTCTATATCTATATGCCTTGCATGCCTTAGAGGTTCTTTGCATGGTGAAATGGTTCTTTAGATTGATGGAGAGTGTTGTATATGGATAGCACCAAATAGGGTTCTGCTGTTGTTATGACGTCAAGCTTGTAACAAATGAAGAACCCTTTTTAGTGCCATATAGAACCATTTTTAAAAATGTTCTACATAGAACCTTTTGCATGCATAAATGGTTCTTGGCATGGTGAAACGGTTATTCAGATTGATGGAGAATGTGTTGTATATGGTTCTATACAGAACCTTTTTCAAAAACGACCATGCAATGAACCATTTATGCATGCAAAGGGTTCTATGTAGAAGCTTTTTGAAAATAGTTCTATATAGCACCAAAAAGGGTTCTGCTATTTTTACAATCTTGACATTCTAACAAGCTTGTAAGAACAGAAGTACCCTTTTTTGGTACTAAATGCTGTTAAAAAGGTTGGTTCTTCAGGGGTTCTTTTGTAAAGGCAATGGTTTTATATCTATATAGAACCATTTGCATGCTTAAATGGTTCATTGCATGTTGTATATGGTTCTAGATAGCACTTCTTTGAAAATTGGTCTATATGACACCTAAAAGCGTTCTGCTATTGTTACGAAGTCAAGCACTTTTGGTGCTGTATCGCTCTTAAAAAAAAAGATGGTTCTTCAAGGGTTCTTTAGTAAAGACAGTGCTTTTATAGAACCAAGAACACTCAAAAACATTTGCATGCTTAAAGGGAAGGATTCTTTGCAATGTTACATGACCCTTAGATTGATGGAGAATGTGTTGTACATGGTTCTATGTAGCACCACAAATGGTTCTTCTATTGTTACAAGCTTGACATCGTAACAATAGCAGAACCCTTTTTGGTGCTATACAGAATCAAATACAACACATTCTCCATCAATCTGAAGAACCATTTCATCATGCAAAGAACCATTTAAGCATTAATTCATGGTTCTAAAAGGCCGTTACTAAAGAACCCTTGAAGGATAAGTGTGTGCTTTATACTTTGGGCCACTTTAAGACCAGCATCTGTTTACTGTAAAGCTAAACCACATCAGCGTCTGAGTTCATGATGTACAGGATGATGAATAAACCTGCGTACAGTTAGAGGAAACAGGCTAGAACAGTTGACACTTCTGCTTTTATAGCACAGAAAGAACATCCTGCCCCCTTATCAGGACACAGAGTCCCCCTTGAGACCCCTGCATCAATTTGTCACCTACATTTCACAGATTGTATCACTGAAATATGTTAAATGTATATATTTCAAATGCACTGCAGCCCGTATTGAAATACACTCCACACGCTACACTGTATTTCAGAATATTTTACCATATTAACCAAAAATACTTTAAATACGTTTATTTTAAAATGTATATATTATATAATATTTGTAAAATATGAGTAACATCAGTAAAATCAATAATAATATATAAACATTGCTCAGCTTGTACAGTAGAAGCTCATATACTGTAATATTAGCAGCCAGTTACTTATGAAAATAATCACACCACAAAATTGCATCACTTTATGTGCAAAAAAAGGCTCTTTTTATTATTTTAATACAATTAAGCTATTCATGCTCTGGCCAGTAGGAGGTGCACTGCACTCTCTGCTCCACCCCAAACTCCACCTACAGTGACCACCATTGGCTCATGAGGTGCTGAATACGTTTGTTTTATTGGCTCACTGTCTAAACATTTGCGTGAAATAGGCTGTGCTACATGTAAATTAGATGTAAATGAGGACAGATATGTAAATGAGGTACTCGCACACCGGCGCTTGTTTTCACGCACCATAGCTGAGCCATAATGTGCACTGAAATAATCGCATGTTGCATTGTCGTTTGACAGTTTCTTGAGTTGGACGCGGAGTCGGTCGTACATCGTTCTGCGCTCTGATGAACGAGCGCCGGTTCTGCTCCCTCCACTGTATCAATAAAGATCATTTAATTTTAATAATGATTAATTCAGGAAAGTCAGTTTAGAATGTGAGTCTAATACTGTGAGAGCGTGTAGGCAAAGTGAACCAGTACAAACAGGGAAAAGTACACACACACACACACACACACACACACACACACACACACACACTTCCTACTGCATAAATGACCGTTAGAGACTCTTCAACATCAGCGGTTCAGTCCCACAGTCTGTTTCCTCTCTCTCTCTCTCTCTCTCTCTCTCTCTATCTCCCCCCCCCGTTTGTGTGTGTGTGTGTGTGTGTGTGTGTGTGTGTGTGTGTGTGTGTGTGTGTGTGTGTTAAGTGCAGATTGACCCTGACAGAAAAGAAAAAATAAAACAACGATGAAGAGCAGATAAGAAAGAAAAAAAGAGAGGGATAAGAGAGCAAGAGAGAGAGTGAGAGAGACTGAGAGAGAGAGAAAATGAGAGAGAGAGAGAATGAGAGAGAGTGAGAGTGAGAGAGGGAGAGAGGGAGAGAAAATGAAAGAGAGTGAAAGTGAGAGAGAGAGGGAGAGAAAATGAGAGAAAGTGAGAGTGAGAGAGAAAGAGAAAGAGAGAGAGAGAGAGAGAGAGAGAGAGAGAAAAGTAGGTTACAGAATGACAAAGAGTAGGAAGAAAGGAAGAAAGAAAGAAAAAGGGATATATTGATATCATATATATCATATCCATATATATATATATATATATATATATATATATATATATATATATATATATATCACTGTTGTTGGAAGAAAACCTCGTATCTCGTAACCTCGTATCATTTTTGACGTTTTTCAGTTTTTGACATAATTTGAAAACGTCTGTTTTTCTTTATATTGTCTGCAAATTTCATGATAAATGGACTAAAATAAACGACCCAAAAGGACTTGGAAAAAAATCTGGTTCCATTGACTTACATTGAAAGTAAAGTATGTTTTTTCCTTCTCCTGTAAAGTTACCATAGAGAGATAGAGAGATAGAGAGAGAGAGAGAGAGAGAGAGAGTGAGAGAGACAGAGAGAGAATACAGAGGCTGATAGAAAGAGAGAGAGCAATAGGAGAAAGAGTACAATATATAGACTATAGTCGATGTTCATAACTTCTCTCTCTCTCTCTCTCTCTCTCTCTCTCTCTGTTACTAGGGTTACAAAAGGTTTCTATATGTAGATGCTGATGAAGGATTTCAGTAAAAATAAATGTTCTTACAGCAAAGCAGATCAGCTGTGGAACATTGCTGGTTACAGCAAGACTCAGAGGCATGAAAACGCCATTCATTTTCACATAGAGATAAACAGCTCAGACCAGGACGTCCTAATATGGTCATAACACCAACTACATGAATAATTCAGTGACTATATGCACCTTAATCTCTACTGATGCCTGAACTCAGGGTATCGGCCGATATCAAGAACTGATTATGGCCATTTCTAACATTCCTGACTGCCCTCATGAATCCTTAAATCTACATAACATTCGTCCACACTTTTTTATCAGGTCTAGATGTTTTGCCATGTTATTAAGCCACTATTAGAATTGAGCATAATTCTATACTGTTATTGGGAAGGTTTGCATGTGTCGCCTGAACAACACCTCATCTGGTTGTGTAGCAAAAGAGTTTTGACAGCCAAAAAGTTGAAATATTCAAATAAAAGCAAAGTTTAACATTAAAAATAAACAAATCAAGTTAATTGACCTGCTAATTTTAAACGTTCTCTCGCCCCCCAGTCATGGCGGAAGCGCTGGTTTGTCCTGAGAAGGGGCCGGATGAGCGGGGATCCGGATGTTTTGGAATATTTCCGCAGCAAAAGCTCGCGGAAGCCCATCAGGACCATTGACCTGCAGGAATGTGAGGTGACCGTGCAGACGGAGGTGTGGCCCTTTAAACGACACCTGCCCAACCAGCACCTGTTCGTGGTCAAAACGGCCAGTCGCGTCTTCTACCTGCTCGCCAAAACGGCAGAGGAAATGAACCTGTGGGTGCGGAACATCGGCCAAATCTGCACGTTCTCAGCCCTGAACGACAGCACAGGTAGGACTGGTAAAACACCTGTACCTGCACAAATGCCATCAAAACAGCACACATCATACCTTTACCTGTACAAATGCCATCAAAACAGCACACGTAACACCTTTACCTGTACAAATGCCATCAAAACAGCACACGTAACACCTTTACCTGTACAAATGCCATCAAAACAGCACACGTAACACCTTTACCTGTACAAATGCCATCACAACAGCACAGGTAATATGCATGTGTGATGGTTCTTCAAAGGTTCTTTAGTAAAGAAAATGGTTCTATATCAAACCTTGAACACTCTAAAAACTCTTTGAAAGATTAAAGGGTTCTTTGCATCATAAAATGGTTCCTTAGATTGATGGAGAACATGCTGTAGATGATTCTATGTAGAATCTTTTTGAAAAGGGTTCTATCTAGCACCAAAAAAGGGTCCTTTTATTATGACAAGATTGACGAAAAGGTTTTTGTCCTGACCCTTTTCAAAAAGGTTCTATATAGAAACATCTACAGCACATCCAATCTCCTCCATCAATCTCAGGAACCATTTTACAATGCAAGGAACCCTATAATCACAAAAGAACCAAGAATACTTTGCATGATTAATAATGCAAAGGGTTCTTTGAGTATTCATGGTTCTATATAGAACCTTTTTTCTTCACTGAAATCCAGTAAAGAACCGTCCGTTTTGATAGTCCGATTTAAGCAAATTTACCCTCAATGAAAATCAGACTATTTCAGTCGAGTTGTGCAGTTTACATGATACTAATTGAAACTACATGCAAAAACACCATGAAGCCTATGGAACCGAGCGTCTGGCTGGCGATCTACTTATAAGCATTAAGAAAAGGGCATTAAACTCTGCCGCCAGAGGAGCAAATCCAGGATGGCCAGAGAGAAACACTTCATTATATACAATCAGAGCTTTCTGTGAGTTTCCTATCACTGTATAAAAGAGGCCCAAGGCCTCCTTTATGACCCGATGTACTGAGGTTCTTTCCGTCTGAGCGCGTGAGTCCGATCAGAGGGCAGTTCGGATCTGTAAAAGCTTATTATTGTTTCCCTTAATCAGGAAAAGCACTGAGAAATCATGTGACTAACACAGAAGAGCAGATAAAGGGTTAAACAAAGCATGTTTAGCGGCCTTGGAGACACAGCAGTTAGCAGGAAAACACAACATCTCAATCCCACTCAGAGAGAGAGAGAGAGAGAGAGAGAGAGAGAGAGAGAGAGAGAGAGGGAGAGGGAGAAAGGGAGAGAAAGAGAGAGGGAGAAAGAGAGCGAGAGAGAGAGAGAGAGAGGGAGAAAGGGAGAGAAAGAGAGAGGGAGAAAGAGAGCGAGAGAGAGAGAGAGAGAGAGAGAGAGAGAAGAGAGAGGGAGAAAGAGAGCGAGAGAGAGAGAGAGAGAGAAAGAGAGAGGGAGAAAGAGAGCGAGAGAGAGAGAGACAGAGAGAAAGAGAGAAAGAGAGCAAGAGAGAGGGAGAGACAGAGAGAAAGAGAGAGAGAGAGAGAGAGAGAGAGAGAGAGAGAGAGAGAGAGAGAGAGAGAGGGAGAAAGAGAGAGGGATTAGCCATTATGTCTGTTCTGTGCCAGTTCATTCTGGTTCAGTCGAGCTCCTGTGTTAACATTCTAGTCCATCCTTCATCTCTCTCTCTCTCTCTCTCTCTCTCTCTCTCTCTCTCTCTCATTCCTCCACCTCTCTCCTCTTCTCTTCCTCCATAACACGCAGTCCTCTCACTCTCACATTCAAATTCATATTCAAATAAGCTTTATTGGCATGACAGGAACAATCCTGCTGCCAAAGCACTGCCGCCGTGTTCATCGCGCAAAACAAATTCACCAGCATTTTATACGGCAGCAGCTTCATAAGGGTCTCGTATGCAGCTGCTAATTGTTAATATAGTTTACCAACATCTGTAGCACCGATTTGATACTATAAAATAATGCTAGTAGACACACATATATATATATATATATATATATATATATATATATATATATATATATATATATATATATATATACACACAGAGAAACGTCAATAGCAGCCACTCGCAATATTAAAATATTATAGTGTCTTGGCTAAAAAGACACAGGAGAGGCCTTGATTTCTGCTATGCAGAGTATTCTTTATTAACACCAGCAGAAAAGACACAAAACAGCCTGTTAGTGAGGAAGGTCACGTCTAGCTGTTCAACTTTGCTTCACTGTAGACACTTAAACCCACAGCCTGACGTGCAACACACACCTTAAACCGAACAACGACACTGGATAACAACACTTAACGCCCCTTTGGCAGCGAGGGAGCGGCGTGTGGCGCAGCTCTGCATACCACAGCTCCTTTCCCAGAACTAGAGCCAGCAGCAGCCGCCACAGTGTTGATAATATGCTAATATGAGTGGTTGAAAAACAGAGAGAGAGAGAGAGAGAGAGAGAGAGAGAGAGAGAGAGAGAGAGAGACAGAATCCATCAGCATAGGCTTTTGTAAATTTGTAACAGCATGCTAATATAGGTTTTAGCTAATATACTGTTAGCAAAGAGCTGTTAATGTGTGTATAATATATATCTCTTTGCTAACAAACCTATATTACCATACTGTATATATAGTAGCATGAACCTATATTAGCACACCATATCTTTATATATATCGCTGTTGTTGGAAGAAAACCTCCAATCTCCATTTTTGACGTTTTTCAGTTTTTGACATAATTTGAAAGTACTTGTTGCTCTTTACATTGTTTGTAAATTTCACGAAGGATTGATTGAAAGAAGTGACCCAAAATGACTTGGAAAGACGTCTGGTTCCATTGACTTACATTAGAAGTAAAGTAGGTTTTTTCCTTCTCCTGAAAAGTTACCATTTTGGAGATATGAGGTTTTGTTCTGACAACAGTGATATATATATATATATACACACACACACACACACACACACACACACACACACACACATACAGTCTATAGATAGATAGATGGTCATTTCTGAAATGCTGATATAAAGGTTATGGCCAATATTGGTTAGCTAAGAGTTAACAGCAGCAGCTTAGGGTGCTTTCACACCTACTTTGTTTGGTCTGGACTTTCAGACTTTTCAGTTTGGTCTGAACCCAAACAGCAGGTGTGAAAGGTTTCTCAGACCAAAGCACCAAAATTTGATCCAGCCAAAAGAGGTGGTCTCAGTCGCGATCCAACTGGACCGTGGTTCGGTTCATTTGCAGTGTGAAAACACTTTTCTGGATGGTTCAGACTTTCGGACCAATTACAAAAAGATGAGGCAGGATATGAACACCTGTTAAACGGCAGAACAACAAAAAGAACGGGGAAAGAAGTAAAAACGAGCCGCAGTAGCTCACGGGAAGGAGACGGAGGATTTGACTGTGATTTGGTCCAAAGAAAAAGTCGGAAACGTATCCCGGATTCTCTGAGAGGATGAGAGAGAGAGGACACACCCTCCTCTACAAACCAATCAGTGTCCAGTACAGAGAGACGCAGCCCTCGCAGGTGATGACGACAGTGTGTCATGCAGAGTCCTTTAGCGCGTTGGCTAAAAACTGCAACATGAAACCAAAACTAGCACTGTAAGGAAAACATGAAGCTTGGTGTGGACTTTCAGGTGTGAAAACGTCGTTAGATTCTTCAGGCTAATACTGATGGACAAGACTGCTGAAAAAGACCAGCTTAAAGCTGGTCTGCTGCTGGTCTAGCTGACCAGGCTGAGTGACCAGTATACCAGCATCCAAAATAAAACATTAGCTGGTTTTGCTGGTAATAAGTATAGCTGGTCTGGCAGGGAAGTCACTCATTAGCAGAGCAACTCAATTAGATTCTTTAGGCCAGCCCTGGTTCACTGTGGAGAAATTTACCAACCCAATGCCTTTACAGTGGTGGTGATAGGAACCAGACGTCGCCATGACTACAACACAAATATAGACATTTTATTTACTATCCAGAACCACCAGTGAACCTACACGAGTCTTCTGAGTTAATGTGTTACTATTACCTGCATGTTTCCCTCACTTCTAGCCTTCATAACTTCAGAAAGGTTTAAGATACAAACATGATCCACATATCAGGACATTCAGCAGACCCACCCCTAACTAGCATCGAGCTGTGACATCAGCATCAGTGAGTAATTACTGCAGTGATATTACTGCTCTGCTGTTTGGCCTTCATATTCCAACAAAGGGTTAAAACAGCAACACGATTCACAATCAGATCACTCATCAGACTCTGCCTCACCATCCAGAGTGACTTCATCCACCTGTGACCGTCCATCAGCCGGAGATCAGCTCCAAAACCACCCACAACCCACTCACTACTGTTATATTACATCTCTGCTTTCAGCCTTCATATTATAAACAAAGGGCTTTCAGTTTACATTGATTTTGAGTATTAAAAATATCTGATATTAAATATGCAGCTCAATTTGTAATTAAAAATAAAGCCTGTCTTGCTGTGTATCAGAGTTTTAGCACTGAGCCTGAATCCAAGAGGACAGAAAATCAATAAAAACATGTCCGCCTTATGCTAATTATTTATTTTTACTCATAATAACTAATAGAATGAATCAAAATTATAGCACTTTCAGCTCACAGACACTCCAGACTAACAATTTCTGAAAAGATAAATACAACTGCACTTGTTTTCAAGATCTCTATAATTAAAAAAATATAACATTTAGCAGGCACCAGGTCAATTCTATCAGAAATGACCCAAATTCATAAAGATATCACATTTCTGTGAGCATTTACATGTCAAACAATGGCATATCTGAGTCGACCAGGGTCTCCTGAAAGTAACAACATATGGCAGGTGTGACTGTCACATGCAAATACTGCATAATTGCAATTGTAAATGTAATTGACCCAAAAAATACCAAAAAAATTTCCCCAAAATTTTAGGTTTCTAAGGGTTAAGCCAAAATTTTCTCAGGCAGTGTATTCATAACCATTAACTCCTTGTGAGGGAGCTCGCCGGATGTCTGGTTCCTATCACCACCACCACTGTGACACA